ATCATTAAGGTCCAATCATGCCTTGACGCTGTCCCACCTTAGTTAATGATGCTGACTTCCTCTCTTTTTACTCTAAAGTTATTCCCTCTAGAAATGATAGTTAGCATCATACCTGATGCTGCTAATTCATTAGAGATCAAGTCAAAATTCTTGCAATGTGCACAGTTCCAAGATAATAAGGTAAAAGGAGAAAATAATGTCTCATTACTTATTCAGGTCTTATATGAGGAAATTAGGTTACCATCTATATCTTCATGTTCCCTAGCTTATATTAAATATTTTCTGCTAAGATCTGTCCTCTAAGTTTCAGATTCACATATCTAACTTGAACCCTCCCACCTGGATGTATTTCAGATGCCTCAAACTCAACATATCAGAAGCTGAAATGCATAATTTTTACTTGAGTCTTCTCCCATCTCATTCTCCAATAACAGTAACTACAAAAAAAAAAAAAAAAAAAAGACTGGCTTCTTTTTATGTGTTCCATCTATCTAATTGCCCAGAGCAGAAACCTGGGGTTCTATTCCCTCATGCTTCATAACCAGTCAATTAACCAGTCCTAGGAAATCTCTCTCACATGTTTCTTGAGTTCATTCACTTCTCTCCATGATCACTGCCAACATCCTAATGCAGGCTACCCCCATGATAGCTGCCCACTACCCTCACAATAAAATTCAAAGTTCTGAACATTGCATGGTGTTTATATGTCAAAGTATTTATGTGCGTCAATCCATATCCTCTTACCTAGTGCTGTCTTCACCTGTGACAAAAACAGCTGGCTCCTGCATGAAAGGTAGAGCACAGAGGACATAAACTTTTACAGATTGAAAATAGTAAGTCCATATCAGATAAATTATTTATTCTAACTATAATAGCAGAGTGTTTGAAACATTCAGTTAATGATTGTGCTACTGCACTCTAGCCCGGGAGACACAGCAAGACCCTGTCTCTAAAAAATAAAAATAAAAACTCAGCTAAAAATTCTGCTATGTGGCAAATAATAAATAAAACAATATTATTTTAACAAATATTTACTATGTGCCAAGTATTTTTCTAATAGTTTTGTGAATATTAATTTATTTAACATATATAATATTTTTGTGATGTAGTATAACTACATTTTTCAGAGGAGGAAAATGATTCATAGAGAGTTAAGAAACTAGTTCAAGGTCTCAGAGCCAGCATTTGGGCTGGGTAGTTTGCTTCTAGAATCCAGGCTCTCAGCTGCTGCACTGTGCTACTTCTCCATGTGGTCTATGAACATAGAAAATATTTGTCATAGCCAAAGTTTTACTTGTTACATTTAGCATTATTTATAATTATAACATATTATTCACATATTATAATACTAGTCATGTAGAGTAGCTGGGCAGAGAATTTATTATCTCTGCAGAAACTTCATATATGGCTGCGGTCACCTGGTATGGCACGCATGGTGGGCAGCTGAGGTGCAGGTGATGGCCACGTTGCAGTGCATAGAGTCCTTGTCTAGTTGAGTGGTCATGTGTTGGGCTGTAACCTGGGTCTTGTGACCCTGCAGGGCACCAACACCTACCTAGTGGGGACTGGCCCTAGGAGAATCCTCATTGACACTGGAGAACCAGCAATTTCAGAATATATCAGCTGTTTAAAGTTGACTCTAATTGAATTTAACATCGCAATCCAAGAAATCATAGTGAGTAATTGGCACCAGGATCATTTTGGTGGCATAGGAGATAATTATAAAAGCATCACTAATGACACTATCTATTGTGTTAAAAAAAACTCATAGAGGAATCCCCATAGGGAGTAAATTACAGGAAATGGAGAGCAACAATATGTTTATCTGAAAAATGGAGATGTAATTAAGACTGAGGGAACCACTCTAAGAGTTGTATAAACACCTGGCCACACTGATGATCACAGAGCTCTCCTCTTAGAAGAGGAAAGTGCTCTCTTTTCGGGTGATTGCATCCTAGGGGAAGGAACAACTGTATATGAAGACCTCTATAATTATCTGAACTCCCTAAAAGAATTATTGAAAATGAAAGCTGATATTATATACCCAAGACATGGCCCAGTAATCCATAATGCAGAAGCAAAAATTCTGCATTACATTTCTCACAGATATCTCTGAGAACAGCAAATTCTTATATTATTTCGTGAGAACTTTGAAGAATCATTTACAATAATGGAGCATGTAAACATTATTTGCAAAAATACTCCTGAACATTGACATAAAATGGCTAACCATAATCTCTTGCTTCATTTTAAAAAGCTAGAAAAAGAAGGAAAAATACTTACCTGACAAGAAATGGAAAGCCAACCTTTAGTTTAAGATTAACGAAAGCTTTGTTTTCTTTTGTTTTTAGAGAATGGTATGTTTTCTTAACTATGAATTATTTATTTATAGAGAATATAGAGTGTAAAACACTGAAAATAACCCTAGAATACTTTTAAATAATGTCATATTTATTCTGAAATATATAAATTATATTATACATCTATAATATAGGTTATTTATCTAAACTTGTTCTTAAAACATTTTACCAAAAATTCAGAATCCAAAAGTTTATCAATTTTCAATAGATTATACAAAATGGTTACTTAAAAATATTAAAATTTGTGTAATTAAAAAAAATTTTAAATATTGTAGTCATAATGTCCTTATAGAAGAGGGACATTTGTTTTCTTATTCTTATGTAGAAGACATACAAGCGCTACTACTATTCCACACTATTAACCTATTCAAAAGATTTACTACAGGATGTTTTCTATGAGAAATCTTATCTGACACATTCAGACTCAATACTTCATCATTTTTCACTTGTGACTATGTCATTTTTAATTGCTCTATGTCATCCATCCATTGAGGATGTTGCCTGATATATGTGTCCTCTGCAAGTATACAGTAAGATTCCCAAGGCCAAGAGCAGTATTTTCTATTTTTATATTGCAGCGAAATCTCTCACATCTTCACACTAAAGCATCAAGTCCCTCCAATGTTGAATTTCTCTTGAGCTTCACAATGTTCTTCTGAGCATCAAAGCAACATAATTTAACTATAAATTATAAAGCTAGATAAAGTTGAATATACCTGTATAATGCCCAGCAGGTACCTCAAACTCTAAATATCCCAAATCCCAAAGTTTATTTTTTTCCATCAAATCTATGCCTCCTCAATATTTTTGCCCTCAGTAGCAGAAAATTTTCACTTATAACTTCTCTCTCCCAGTCACCAAATTCTAAGATTTCTCCATCACAAATGCCTCTTCTGTCACCCCTTTTTCATTTCCACTGACCTTGACAATGTGCAGTCTATGATTACCTCTCACTTACTCCACTGCAATAGTCCCCTAACAGATTGCTCCAAATCCAATTTCTAATTAGTAGAATCCATCCTTTGCGTTTCTCCCCCTGCTACATTTCCAAACACTGACATGATTGTTACTTATTCACTCCAAACAACCTGTAGAGAATAAAGTCCATATTTTCTTACTAAGGCATTCAAGGCTCTCCACATATAGGCCTTGGATTTCTAGCTGTCTAGTTCATTGAGGTTAGGACTATGTTTCTCCAAAAATCTGGTTATAGTGCAGTGAGATTGTGTGTGTGTGTTTATGTTTATATATTTGTTTTATCAAGTAGAATCATAAACATTACTTCATACACTGTGATTGCCCAGCTGGAAATGTCAAAGAAACAACAGAGCCAAACAGTAGTTAAAATAGCAAAATCATTTTATTCAGGAACCATTGCAATAAAGGAAAAGAGACCTCAATATAGAGCTGGGTCAATTCCAATTACAGCATGGACAAGTGGGGATTTATTGCCAAGGAGCAGGATGGATATCAAGAGATTGGAAAATTACTAAAAGGAAATATCAGGGGTGGGGAAGATTCTGGTTAAACAGACCTAACAGGATTCTTGCTGAGGACAGGCCAGGGTGGTCAGAGACCAAGAGTAGGGGTGAGCAATTTGCTCAGTTACAGAGGGTAATCAGGTATGAAGGGTCGGGTTCTGTCTAAACTGATTCAGCAAGATTATTGCTACAACTGGGTGATGCAGGAGCCACCAGATTGGAAGCCAAGGTCAAAGCCTAGTTGGAAAGAAGGCTTACATGGACCTGACTAGAGTTTAGTCAAGGAGAGTAGTCCTTGCCAGTGTGGTCACACTGTGTGTGTGTCTGTATTGATGCTGCCGTAATTTACCACAGAGGGACTCCCAGGCCATCAGAGCAGTGTCACCATATTTTGGGTGCAACAGCAGCCACAGAGAAGGCCGACTTTGAACAGCTACTAATAGTTAACTGGCTTTTCCTTAGGCTGGGATGGGGATGGGAGTCTTTTTTTTTTTTTTTTTTTGAGACAGAGTCTCACTGTGTTGCCCGGGCTAGAGTGCCGTGGCGTCATCCTAGCTCACAGCAACCTCAAACTCCTGGGCTCAAGCGATCCTCCTGCCTCAGCCTCCCGAGTAGCTGGGACTACAGGTATGCGCCACCATGCCCGGCTAATTTTTTTTTATATATATTTTTAGTTGTCCAATTAATTTCTTTCTAATTTTAGTAGAGACGGGGTCTCGCTCTTGCTCAGGCTGGTTTCGAACTCCTGAGCTCAAACAATCCACCCGCCTCGGCCTCCCAGAGAGCTAGGATTACAGGCGTGAGCCACCGTGCCCGGCGGGGAGTCTTGATTTACTTTCAATATTCCTCAGATTTGACCAGACCCCCAATTACATAAGATCTTCAGTCATAAAAAACATAACTTACAAAAAAACCACTTGTATTTTGCCACTTATAGCTTTTGTATTTTCATCAACAATTGTCTTAATACAAGTCTGGGAGAAATAAAACGGCTCACGCCACGCATCCATAGAAACAACCCAAGTTCTCTGAATGGACACAGCCTAGGACAAGCGGGAGCGCCCCCTCAAATCTCGCGAGTCGCAAGCACAGGCGCCTTCGCCCGGCCTCTCGCGATAGCACAGGGCTCCAGCTTCCCGTCTGAAGAGATCAGGCGGCGGCGTCTCCTGGGGCAACAGCAATGGCGGCGGCGCTGTCCGAGCGGCTCTTCTCCCTGGAGGTGGTTGTAGACTGGGTGCGCCTGGAAACTCGGTTGCTGCCGCCGTCCGCCGTTGCGGTGGAGCAGGAGGAGGCCTCGCCGCCGCGCTCCCTGTGCCCCGCCGTGGCTTTCCGCCTGCTGGACTTCCCCACGCTGCTGGTTTACCCGCCTGACGGCCCTGCAGCGCCCGCCCCGGAACCCCGGCCCGGCGTGATCAGCTTCGGTCGCGGCAAGTCCTGTCTCTTCCGTCTGCACCCTGCCACCCTGCACCGCCTGCTCCTTAGGACCCCGCTTTACACCTTGCTGCTGCAGCTGCCCCCCGGGCGCCCGACGCCCGCCCCACAGCTCCTGGGTTCCTGCAACATCTCGCTGGCCGCCACTGTCCAGAAGGTCTTGGGACCGGCCGCCTGCAGGTGCTCCCAGGGTCACCGGGGAAGGTTCTCCCTGCATAACCGAGTGGGGAAGCAAATTGGGGACATTGCGCTGGCCTACCGCCTGACTGACCTGGGAAGCCGCTTGCTGGGCCATCTTGAGCGGCCCGTCACCTTCACCTCCATAGGATGCGGAGTGGAGCACGAAGAGGTGCAGGAGGCAGTGGAGGTCAGTTCCCAAACCCCGCAGGAGAAACAGCAGCTACAGCAGCCAGCCTCAGAGCCAAGCCCAAGAGACACCGATAGGCCTCCTGGGGGGTTAGAAATCCCAAAGGCACAGAAGGATTTGAAGGAAATAGTTTTCCACACTAAGGCCAACTCTGATAACGCCAGTTCTGTGGAGAATGGCAAAACCAACTCTGTTGTCACTTGTCCAAATGCTTGCCGTGGGAGGAGTATTATTCCCCTAAATGAGGAAGTTACAGAGTTGGACATTGAAACCAACACATTTTGCCCTCCTCCTCTGTATTACACTCACTTGACCCAAGAAAAACTGCCTTCTGCACAGGTTAAAATCACCATTGAGCCTCAAGTGAATGTACTCGGGGAATTGGATGGTGCTTTTCCAGAAAACAAACATATGAATTCCCCAACATACAGAAGCTCTCCAAAACATACAAATTCTGCAACAGATGAAGGTCCTCCAATGCTTGTAAATCCTCCACATATTCAAGATATAGGAGCAGTTAATCAAACTACATGTCATACTCAAACTGAACAAAATAGAATTAATACAATAAGGCAGCTGCCTTTATTAAATGCTTTGTTAGTTGAGTTGTCCTTGTTATACGACCAACCCGTGGCAAGTCCTACTCACATACATCCTCACTTAGCCTGGTTATATAGAACTGAGGAAAAGAAGGCATCAGAGTCTTCTGCCAAATCCACATGTCAGTCTGAATCTAAAGAGGGTAAGCTTTCAGTTGGGGAATGTGAAAAGTCAGTTAGTCTTCAGCCTAAAAAGAACCAAGTTGAAAACCCTAAGAAAAGTAAATATTTTGAAAAGAACAGTGGTACCTCCCAAAAAAGAGTTCCAAGGGGGAAGCTGCTTTATGGCTTAACAAATACGCTAAGATTACGTTTAAAGCAAACAAATCCTGATATGTTGGTAGTACATGAAAAGAGAGAACAGTATAGAAAAATGCAAGCACAAATGTTGGGTACAAAATTCAGAATTCCATCATCCAAAGTTAAAATATTAAGCTTTGCAGAGCAAAATCAGAAATCACATCAACTACCTAAAGATAAGCATTTAGATTCAGATACATCTTTTGCTGAAAATAGTGGTACCTCAAGGCAAATTAGTGGAGTTTTTGATGAGCCTAGCACAACTAAAGAAATTAAACTGAAATGTGCAACTGAAAAAAAGAGAGTTGATTGTGGTAAAAATAGAACCAATAATGGTTCATTGGAAGAAATTGTGAGTCCTGCAAATTCCATTATTCCAGAAAGGTTTACACATGCAAATATTTTGGGAGGAAAAGTGGAAGTCCAAAGTCCATGTGTTTTCACACAGGATGCTATTGATAGAGTTGTAGCAGATAAAGAAATAAATAGTAGGCAGGACAAAACTACAGATAATGACATTCTAACTGCTGATGTGAATGAAAATAGACCAAGTGGAAATAGTTGCTATGAAAACATCTCAGAACTAAAGTATTCAGATGACTTCACCAGCTCTTGCTATTCTGAAGATTTCTATACCACGGAGGATACCAGCAGAAGTTTACAAGCTCATGATAGCAATCCAGGGGCAGAAAATCCAAAACATAGTCAATATACAAGTCAGTCTAGTGAAACAAAATTGTCTGTAAGGAAAAATAGCAGTGAAAAGAGTTCTATTCTTAGCCCACCTTTTTCAGCTGGATCACCAGTACACTCATATAGGAGATCTCGTATTTCAAAGACTCAGGATAAAAGTTTGGAGGAAGCATCTAGTATCTCTACCAGTGATTTATCTTCATCACATTGGACTGAAGAAAAAGAAAACCAGATAGACCAAAATGGTATGCATGTTTCTAAAGTTATAAAGAGAGATCAAGACATCTCTTTTAAACTTAAAACAAGAACTGGTTGCAAATCTGTAGAAAAAAGCCAGTCACCGCAGACATCTCAAGTGAGTTCTTACCTGCCTTCTAATTTGTCAGAACTAGAACTTAATGTCCTGAATAGCAGTACATCAGATCACTTTGAAGAAGATAGTGATGATGTTGGTTCACTAAATATTTCCAAGCAATGTAAAGATATTTGTGAATTAGTAATAAATAAACTTCCAGGATATACGATGTAAAAATATGTGCTTTTAAAAAACATTTTTTAACAACCTGTGTGTACTATTAGCGAAAAAAATTTAAAAACTCTTAACATTACATTTTAGTACACAAATTATGTGAATAAGTCTTTTTAAGAAATGTAAATGTTTGTCATTCCTTTAATGTTTAAATAGTATTCTACCATTAAATCTGATAATATTAATCATGAAATCACCCTATAACCTATGTAAGATTTCTTTTTAAGTTGTTTAATCTTATAAGAATAAAAGTATCTATCATTCTAAACTGTCTCTCCTAAAGCATCTGCCCTAAAGTATTGATCATCCTGAATCTGTCTTAATGCATGTCATTGAAAAAAGAAGACAAGTTAATGAGGATAGCTTCAAATTTTAATTGAAATAAATCATTTAACAAATATTGAGAACTTACTGTGTGAGATGCAGAAAGGTACAAAACTATTTAAGGTAGAGCTCCTGCTATTATAACAGCTTATGGTTTTATGTAGATGAGAAGTCTTCCTTGACATGTATATGTCCTATATCCCTAATAGGTGAAGTTAATTTTATATGCTATCATAGTGCTCTGTACCTTTTTTAAAAAAAAAAAACGAAACACAATTTGTTTGATTACTTGATTAATGTTTATCATCCACTAGGCTTTAGTTCTGTGATGGAAGGGACCATATTTGTTGTATACATCGAATCTATTCCTAATATCTAGCACAGTCCCTGACATGTGGTTGGGTGCAGTGAAAACATTCACCGAACAAATGAACAAAGGCCAGACATTTAAAATACCTAATGGGCTGGCATAGAATTTAGCAGTAAAAACAAGCAGAAACCCCCAAAACCTGTAGAAAATCCTTATTGGAGACATGTTTGACTGTGATATTTTTGTTTTGCTGGATATAAAAAACCTTCAGTTGTTCTTTCCAGTATTTGGAAAGGGGACCTAAAAAAGGTATCTTTCTATACAATTTCTTATATAGGAGTTGAGTTTATTGTCATTGCAGTTTGTTCAATAGTTGTTTTTAATGTATGAAAATTTGTTTATATGAAATCTAGTGATTTATTTATAATTTGCTCCATTGTTTTTATAGTCAGACCTTACTCTGTGTTCAAATATATCTTCTTCCAGCTGTGTTATACTTTAATTTTAGACTTTTTAATATATCTATAATATTTTTGAATGTATGAGGTGAGATCCTAATATTCCTTTCTTTACAAGTAATTAAATAATGATATAGGTATTGTCTTCTGAATGATCATAATGATAGGATTTAGATAGATGGTAAGAGGATGTTATATTTTGGGGAGTGATATGAATGAAAAGATGATGACGGAAATGAGCATTATATAGTCCTGGGACAATGAAAATATTATTTTCATTAGAATGATAGGTTCATGCTACAGAGTGGTAAAAAGGAAATTTGCTGAGTAAGGAAAGTTGCAGATTCTAGAGAGCTTCAAATGCCAAGCATAATAATAAAGTCCTAAGCAACAGGAACAATAGAGTACTTTAGATTATAAATGAGCACCAGTAAGTAGTAGTGACATTTTGAATATTTTAAATTATTGAAAATAATTACTTAGAGACATAGAAATTACACCAGTAAAAGTTTTGAAATAATGAAAGACTTTTTATGGCTAATGGCTATGATCTTAATTTTTGTATAAATATAAAGCATATAGTATATCATCTTACAAAATCAAAATAATTTAATGACAGGTACTATAACTAGTAGATACTCATATGATGTCAACTGTGTAAACTATTAATGGCAATCTTTCATTACCATACAAGAAATAAAACTATAAACTATCAGAATCATCAAAGAAATAATTCCTTAAAAACCAACTGTTTTATTTATTTGATTGAGAACAAGTCATTGTGATGAGACTAGGTAAGGAAAATGATGAACTCAGTGTGTCTAAAAAGTCCAAAGAACTAATGTTCTTTATATTACAAAACTGAGTAGCTAATAAGCTTCTCATTGAGTTATCCCATGAATACTTATTTCTAGAATTGTGGTATTGGTTTTTCCAGCTTAATTCTAGTAAAAATGTATGTTTTCATGTATTTTGTACTTCCTGTTTGCATTCTATCTTCAAATTCAGTTTGATGTTTTAATTCTACAATCTAAAACATACTTTTTAGAGAATTTCATAACATACTACTCATGAAATTTTATTTATCTCCTTAATTGCTTAAAATCACTAAAATGTGAAGTAGTATTTCAAGGTCTCAAATAAGGGGGACCTGTCATTTCATTGTAAAATGAAGCTATTGCAAACCTTCCAGAAGTTCTTCTGAACAGTGTGGGTATCTCAACTGCTATGGACAGAGCTGAATGAGAGAGGGACTAAGAAGGAAAGTGAGCCATAAAATGATGTTAAGACCAACCTCTGTGTAGTACTAATGCTTACAGCTTAGGAGGCAGCTGTCAATAACAACAAGTCCTTTGAACTGTTGCCGTAAACATATTCCCAGAGGACTGTACAGATGCGTACAATATGTTGGGTTTTTCCTGCAGTCATATGCATGCTATTGATATCTTCAGATACAAAGAACAATGATACTAAACTTCTATCATGCAATTGTGGCTTTCTGTTGAGAACAACCCCTTTCCATCTCAATTAATTTATATTTTTCTTCATGTACAAGCAGTGAATTTATTATGGGATTATACTTAGGAACCAGACTTTTATTGGTAGCAAATATATAGGTCAACACTATAAGTTAAAATCCGAACTTTTTAATCAGCACATTATGTTGTTAACAAAGCAAAGAAATTTCATAACAAAGAAAGCAACATATAAATAAGATAAACAATATTTAAATGTGTTGAGTCAAAGTGTCCTTGGCCCTAGAGAAATAGTCATTCTTCAGGCTGTTTATGTTTTAATTTAGAATAAAATGTCTAGAGAGTTGCACAGAATGACAGTGTATGAGCCAAGACTTGCTGAATCATTCTCTTCTTATTGTTAACCTACAACAATGGAAGGAAAACTTACTTGGTCAGGGACCAAGGCGTTCTTAACTGATTTTCTCCGGAGATCTAACTGTCATGCCAGGGAACAACAGCCTTCAGGATGAGCTTCATTAGGTTGGAGTGCCAAGCCATAGGGTAGAAATATTTCCTTATTTCCCAAACTCTTCTCATATCTCTCTTATATTAATAATATATATTCTAGAAAAAAACCAGAAAGCTCAGATAAGAGTTTTTGCTTCAAAATTGTGTACTAAGGAAAGGTAATGTCCTTTCCTTCCAAAATCCCACTGAAATGATAGAAGAGATGTAAAAATAAGACTGAACCCATAGTAGCCCCAGAAAACAAGGAAAATGCTGGTGGCGGATAAGACAGTTTGAGGAACTTCTGGAAGATACAAAGCAGGTGGGATTGGGTTTATGAAAAAATTGATTATAAGTCCACTCTTCAACATAGCCCCCTAAGAGTGCTACTGGAGAAATGAGGAGATAGTGTTTTCCAGCAGAGCCCCAGATAAACTTCAAGCTCGGTCAGCAGCGCTTGATAGTAGGAGCACGTTACGGGAGGACTGGGGCAGAAATAGAACCCCGAGGACAATAGAGAATTCGGGGTGAGGCTAAAGGGTATCTACTAGAAGAGGTGTTGGGACCAAAAAGGAAAACTAGTGTTTTTTGCTTTTGACAGTAAAACATATATTAAAACTGTGTCTCAATTTTACTAGGGAGACTACTAACCCTCGTGGCAAATTAAAGTGATATAAGCCTGGTCTTTGGAGGCAGACAAGCAGAATTTACGTCCTTGATTACATTATATTACTCCTTGAAGACTATGTCTCTGTTGTAGGATTGATTTAGTTTCAGGATTGAATTAAATAACTTGTGTATAGCATGTATGGCAGTGAATATATGCGTGTTTGGGGGTTGTAGTTATATTACAGAGAATGTACCATGGTATCTGTATTCCTGCCCCAAGGGATGTATTTTCAATTAAAACTTAAGTCAAAAAATGCACACTTCCTTCCAAAAGGTTTAAACAAATTTCCCATAGCATAGAAAGGCCAGGAAGCCCATGATGACAGAAGAGGCAGGATGAAGAATTCTGGCCAGGGAAGAAGACTGTTTAGGTCAGAGAGCAGAGCCACAAAACCAAGCAGAAGAAGGAGCCCTTCTCAGAATATTAAACAAGGTGGGGCATCTAGCTTTGTGCAGAGTATTGGGGTGGGGTTAGGGGGAACACAAAACTGCCTTATCATTCAGAAAGAAAGGAACTCTGAGCCAGGGTATAAGTAAAGACAAGGTTTTCTAAAGTAGTAAGAAAAGAGTGTATGAATGCAGAAATGTTTCCCTGCAAACCTAGGTAAGTGGTCTCTCTTATAGGAGGTTGTTTTAAAACCTCCTAAAAGTTTCTTTTTTTTTTTTCTGTCTTTATTATTTCATGTCTTCCCATAGCGGCACCCAAAAATGTTTAAATGCCTTGGGGATGCGGATGGGGTGAGAGGGGAAGGAGCTGTCGTAACGTATCCTAATAAAATAGCCAGGAGCTTACAGAATGAGTTGGGAAAGGATGAGACTTAGCTTTCAGACCAGATGTTGCAACTGAGTAGAAGAACCCTTGGCGGCAGGAATACCTGAAAAGATTTGGGTTTTAAGAAGAAAGGATGTTTGTGCTTCTGGGATCAGGGCAGGATAGGAGATTAGATAAGCTCCTGAGTAATAGCAAGGCACGATAACAGCTGAGGGTCATATTCAGAAAGAACATGGAATGGAACGGGTCCATGAGTCAGTATGTGAGTTGGTTACTGCAAGATCAAAAACCTGTACTTTTAGTTTGACTATTTACCATATTGTATGTTTTCTTCATTATGTTTTTGTTTTCTTCTTGGTTTTAATGTAGCTCTTTTTGAAGGATCTTCTAGTTGAGCTATAAAAGCAATAGGAAGTGGCTTTGGTTGGGGCCAAAATGCCAGAGGAGAAGCATCATACCCCCAGAGTCTACTTATCTAAAGATTCAGAAAAAAATACATAAGA